TTTTCTTGATATTTAGTATTTTTGTAGCCTACTTTTTTAAAATTTCCTATCGTATGTCATAAAGGTACTCTCCAATATTATCTTCTAGATGCCTTAATTCCTTGCCTTTCACATTTCAATCTCCAAATCATCTGAAATTAATCTTAATGTGTATTGTGAGATGGGAATAAAATTCCACTTTTTTTCCCATTCAGACATTCACTGGAGCCAACGCTATTTTTTTTTTCAATCCTTTCTTTCCCCACTACCCTGCTGTGTCACCCTTGTCATAAATGAAGTGTCCATGTATTAGGTCTGTATATTCATTAATAATAAAGATATTAGCATGCATTCATTAATACACCTGAACACTCTCTTCTGTCCCACTGGACTATTAGTCTATTCTTGATCTTGACTTTTTTTTTTTTTAGAAAAAAAAAAGGGGGAGAAGCCAAGGAAGAAGGAGAGAGAAAATCTTAAGCAGGCTCCACTCTCAACATGGAACCCAATGCAGAGCTCGATCTCATGACCCTAAGATCATGACCTGATCTGAAATCAAGAGTCAGATGCTTAACTGACTGAGCCACCCAGATGTCCCAATCTTATCTTAATTTCTACAGTTTTGTAGGTCTATATTCAGTAGAGGAAGACATCCCACCTGCCTTGTCTTCTTCAAGATTAACTGGGATATTTTGGATCATTTGCATTCCATATAAACTTCAGAATCACGGCAATATCTTGGGAAGATTTAAGTCTGGATTCACTTTAACATTACTTCTTCAGTCCTGCAGGACCTACATTAACAGCTTCCTTTCACACCATGGGAACATTATAAGATTCAAGCACACTTGCTGATTTGCCGTTCCCACACAGACCCATATGTCCCTCCTTCCTTACAACCCTTCTGACTTTCCCTTCTCACTTACTGAAACATTGGAAGTCAAAATTCCATCTGTTCTGCAAGGTATGGCTAAATTATAACCTCATCCAGGAAGCCTTCCCTGATACCTTACAGACAAAAATAATCACTCTCTTTGAACTTTAACAGTAGCATTTGCTTTTCTTCTGTAACTTAGAAATGCCACCGTATATCATTCTTTGTTTATGCCTTACGTCCCTCACTAATAAACACTCTAGTAGGTGAAGGTTCATATCTTCCTGGATTGAACTGGCATTATCAAAAGTCCTACTCAACATATGTCTCTATTTTCTGAGTTTTTGACAAAATGAGGATGCTGGTTACACAGGAAGAACCTTATAGTCAAACCAATTTACTCAAAGAATAACTTGAAATCCTGATTTCAAAATGAAAATATGCTGAAATGAAAAGAAAGTGTTCATCAGAATCAATGCAAATACTGTATTTTCCAAAGTACACTCCATGATCAAAGAGAAGTGATTACCTTTGGAAGCTTTACATCAAGTTCTTTTTAGTTACATCATTTTACAAATCTTATCAGAATTATCATTTTAAATGATAACTGTCGACATCAAATTGTCCTCATTTTTTGTCTGGAATAAGCAAATGTGAACCCAGAGAAATATTGGTGCAAAAAGAGAGTAAGTCCTGTCCCAATAATGCCCTTACTGAGGCTGCATGAAAAGACTGGAGCTGAGAGGGCTCAGAGTGGGGTCAAGAAGTACCTCCTTCATTTAGAAGATGCCTGAAGTGATGCATGTGACTCAGGTTCTCCAAAGCCCCAGATTCTTCAACTGTAAAGTGGATCAAATAACTCATATCACCAAAGGGAACTGAAATATTCAGTAAGATGTTTTCAAAAACACGTAGTACAGTGTCTATGATATAGCAGATCCTCACCAAATGCATAAAATAGCATTACTATTAGAGAAAAAAAATTCTACACTAATAACTGCTTTAAAAATTATGTTAGCATAGAAACAAACAAAAAAAATCAGAACTGCAGATCCAGTAAAGAAAACACACACGCACAAATTAACAAGGACAACCTCGAATGTCAATTCTTCCCCTTCACAGACTACTGTTCTTTAGTAGAGATGTTTATTCTGTGAGCATCAGTGTGGCTGGCAGAATTCTTAAAATGGTCCTGTAAAGATCTCTAATCTTTGCCCTAATCCCAGGAATCTCTGAATATGATGAAGTACCACTCATATGATTATGTTATATTATATGACACAGTTAACCTTCTAAGAGACATGACCCTGGATGAATGGGTGGGTCCCAAGATTTCTCCAGCACAGAGCAGAAGAGTCAGAGAGGTTGGAAATGTGTGGAGATCTAGAGAAGAAACTGCTGGTCCAAAGCTGAAAGGGCCACAACAGAAGGCAGGTGAGCAACACTGAGGAGCTGAGAGGTCCCTGGCTGACCGCCACTGGGGAATAGGCACACAGCCCTGCAACAAGGAATTGAATATTCTCAAACACACCAGTGATCTTGGAAGTGAGTCTTCCCCGGAGCCTGTAGGAGGGAGCTGAGCCCAAGCAACAGGTTTGTTTCAGCCTTGTGAGACCCTGAGAAGAGAATCAGGCTATGATGGACCTGGACCCAAGACCCAGGGAAACTGCGAGGCAGTAAATTTGTGTGGTTATAACTTACTGGCTTTGTGGCGATTTCTTATGCTGCAGTAGAAAGCAACTACAGGAGCATGTTTGAAAAATAATAAAGAAAAAAAGGTAAATAGTTGAGATATGGGAGGAGCAGAGAATTATTTGAGGTAAAGAGGCCCAGAGGGCCTCTTGGATGGAATCACATTTGAGGAGAGACTCAGATGAGGTAAAGATTGACTGGCAACACTGCCAGGATGAGGAAACAGAAAATGGAAAGGCCACATAAGACCCCAAGAAAGACTGAAAAAGTCCCATGGAGGAAGCCTCTGGATGGTGCACACATCACTGAAGAGGAGTCTGGCTTGAACAGTGTGCTGCCCCCTCCCTCAAAACAAGTTCAGACTGCACTGCTTAAGGCTACCGAGACAATCAGCACAGCTCTTTGTATGGTCCTGTTTTCATGGCACACAGAGGCCTGGAGTGAGTAGGAAATAGACCACAATTAATCCAGCATAAAGTGCCTGGAAGATCTTACGAATTTCTGCAGCAAAGAGTCACCTGGTGAAAGATAACAAGTACTTTAATCTATTCTCGAAAGTGATCATTTTTATCAGCGTTTACACGGCATATAATAAATCCCTTCTCCCAATAAAACATATCATGTGCCCTCCTACTTTCAACCTTGCCCATTCCCAAAACTTACATCATCTAAAGGAATGAATAAAAGTATTCTGAAGATCAAACTCAATTAGCTTGCAAACTCTAGGCCCCCCCAAACATACGCACCCAACAAGTGCTAGAATACCCAGAACCGTCTGTTACTATATGGGGAAGGGGGCACTTTCTCCTTTGATGATCCAAATAGTGACCTCTAGATTCCATGAAAAGCCATACTATAAAAAGAATTTTTTCAACTTTGCCAATCCCTAAAGAGGCTTTTTTTTTAATTACCCTTCCTAAAATATACTGCCTCTTTTTTCCTTGATTATCTTATGTTTGTCAAAGAAATCACCATGTATATGTAAATATTTTTCAATCTTCTTGTTTGTCTTTCCTTTACACTAGCCTGAAAACTCCAGAAGGACTTTTCTTCTCAATATGAATAATAACCAGTAAAGTGTCAGTCACGTAAGAGGCCTATATAAAAAACTGTTTAATTATTGATTCTAACATTCTTTGACTCCCATTCTTAGACTCTTAATTAAATAGCATCTTGACTCACATCATTACTCAACATAGTCACAAAAACTGGCAGAAAGCTTGGTGAAAAACAAGCAAGACAAGCACATTCTAGGGCCTTACAGATGATTTACATCCTGTAAAGAAAGCCTTCAAGAGAAGAGAGGGTGTGGCTCTCACTGAGTCTTAGAGTTGCACAAAAATATGGTTGATCCCCTCATTTCTTAGACTTGTTACTAAGTTTCAGAAAATAAAACACGGGAGTATGGTTGAAAGAATATTGGACCTGGAGAAAATAAAAGTGTGACCCAAGTTATGTGGTCATGGGAAATACATTGATTCTTCATGTGTGCCAGACTGAACATCTGCAAAAATAAAATCGCATTCTGCCTATGACACAAAATTCAGTAAATCACAATAACAATAAACACTTTATTAAAAAACTGAACTGCATTCTGCCTTTCACATGCACGACTCATGTAACTACAGCAGCAAAATCTCAACAGTTAGTACTATGAGAGGAGTATTGGGAATGTACAAGGCCTTTGTAAAATGTCTACTCCAAACACGAAGGTAGTATTTCAGAGCACTATAGTTACATACTTCTTGAATAATTCACTTTTTTCCATTTTCTTGATATATAATTCACATATCACATTGTGTTAGACCAAGGTGTACAACATACTGGTTTCATATACATATATATTACAAAATGACTACCACAATAATTTTGGTTAACATAAGTCACCTTATGTCATTTTTTCTAGTGAAGAGAACTTTTAACATCTGCTCTCTTAGCAACTTAAAAATGTACAGGACAGAATTATTAACTAGAGTCACCATGTTTACATTACACTCCCAGGACCTATATATCTTATTAGTTGAAGTTTTTACCTTTTTTCCATAATACATTTGTTAATGGTTTATGTTTAAAGAATCAAGGCCAAGCTTGCAGACAACTGAGAGATCTCAACACCTTGTGAGCTAAACAGAAGTACCGTCAAGTCACTGATGATGATTCTAACATTTATTCAGGATTTAACAAAGAACCTCTCATATTCTACTCACAATTCTTGAAAATATTTTCAAAGCACTAAGGCTCAATAATCCTCTCATCTCAGCTTAACGATTTAAACTCCTTCCTGGTCAATGGCAAATTAGAAAATTATAACCTAGAGACTTTGTGTGACTTTTCAATGACATAACGTAATAAAAAATGAATCTGAACATAAAATTTGCACTCCCATTGCTCAGCCCATGTTCTTGCATCTTGTGTAAATATCTCCTCTCAATCTGTAGTACAAATGGAATCTAGTTTACTTACTCATTAGAAACTTCTTCTTCTCAAATGTCCTTCTGAATGAATCCTTGACCTCCCTGTTTCTCAGGCTGTAGATAAGGGGGTTCAGCATGGGAATCACAGCTGTGTAGAACACAGAAACCACCTTATTGATGTCCAGGGAGAAACTAGAACAGGGGCATACATAGATAAAAAAGAGTGTCCCATACAGGATGGACACAGCTGCCAAGTGTGAAGAGCAGGTGGAGAAGGCGTTGTGCCTTCCCTCAGCAGAGTGGATCCTCAGGATAGCGATGATGATGTAAATGTAGGAAACCAGGATGGTCACACCACTGACCACTCTTACACCTCCAGCCAAGATGAAAAGTACAATCTGATTGACATAGATGTCTGCACATGCCAGGGACGAAACAGGAAGAACGTCACAGAAGAAGTGATTGATGATTTGGGGGCCACAGTAAAGCAGACGAAAGGCAAGTGTCGTGTGGGTCATGGCAATCATAAGACCTATGGCATAAGGCCCTAACACCAGCTGCACACAGATGCGCTGAGACATAATGAGAGTATACAACAAGGGCTTACAGAGGGCCATATACCGGTCATATGCCATGGAGGCCAGGAGGAAACATTCAGTCACTACAAACTGAACAAAACACCATAACTGGGCAGCACAACCCAAGAAAGAGATTACTTTTTTCTCCACAAAGATATCAGTCAACATCTTAGGACCAATGACAGAAGAGGAGCATATATCCACAAAAGACAAGTGGCCGAGAAAAAAGTACATGGGAGTGTGGAGTCGGGGATCCATCCAAATGAGGGTGATCATCCCCACGTTTCCCAGAAGAGTGGCAAAATAAACCAAGAGAAATATCACAAAGAGAACAACCTGGTACTGGAAGTGATTTGTTAAGCCCATGAAAAAAAACTCAGTCACCAAAGTCTGATTTCTATAATCCATTCTCTGATTTAATCTGTAATGAGAAAGAGAAAGATTTTTCTTTGCAATCAACTTGTAATTAAATTATTTTTAAAAATGAATTTCACTTCTATTTTTGTCAGTTAAAAAAGGACATCATTACCCCCGACTCTCTTGAATTCTACATCTCTTGGTCAAGCAATCTATTTGCATACTATTTGTTTGCAGATTAAGTCACTAAACCTCACAGGTCTCCTTACTTCCTTCCACAGAAGCAGAATTTTTTAATAGAATCATAGATTTTTTTTTAAGATTTTATTTATTTATTTATTTGAGAGAGAGAGAAACAGCATGAGAGGGGAGAGGGTCAGAGGGAGAAGGAGGCTCCCCACTGAGCCAGGAGCTTGATGTGGGACTGGATCCCAGGACTCCAGGATCATGACCTGAGCTGAAGGCAGTCACTTAACCAACTGAGCCACCCAGGTGCCCTAGAATCATAGATTTTTAACCTACAGGTGAACATTGGGGATTATCTAAAGCAACTCCTCTAATTATGCTAGGTTATATTTCTAAAAGTACTTAGCTTTGAACCAAGGATATTTTTTTAAAATGTTTGATTGAAAAAGGCTATGGGAATTCACTGAATTCCACATGATACCCATTCTCACTGCCGATTAAAGGTAAACTGGTTTGGGCAATGTAACTGTTTCTTCAATCTCCTCAGATTCTATAGCTATAATTGCTGGAGTTATCTAACATACATTTTGATGTCCAAGGAGGAGGGCAAGATGAGCACAAGAAAAGTTAGCTTTACAACATGATCACATCCTCAACACTATCCTCACTATGAGTCTTTTTCCAAAACACCTGTGATCCCCCATATTGATGGTGTATATTCTCATTAATCAAGTGACTCCATTGATTTTTTTAGGCCATCAAATAAAAGACCACTTTTTAAATATTGAATAGCTGTTGTGACCCAACTGGTGTTATTAAGTGCCTGAGAGAGAAATATAAATATTTTAAGAATTATAGGGGTATCCCTGGGCGATTATCCCAGGGAAATGAGTATCTATGTCCACAAAAAAAAAATGTATACAGTTTTATTCATAGAAGTTCAAAAATTTGAAAGAACCAAAATGTCCTACAATATGTAAATGGTTAAACACACTGTGGTACATGCATACCATGGAAAACTATTTAGTAGGAAAGAGATCAAAATATGATACATGCAACAGCTTGGATACACCCAAGCTGTTGAAGGTGTGGCTATAAAGGGGTAGCACAGGGAGATCCTTGTAGAAATGAAAGAGTTCACAAGGGTTAAACAAATCTACAGGCATGGTAAAATGGTATAGGACAGTATACACTTGTCACACCAATATCAATTTCTTGGATTTGATGTTGTGCTGTAGTTAGTAAGATGTACCATCCTGGGTGAAGGGTATGTGACCCTCTCTGCATATCTTTGAAGCTTCCTGTGGATCATTATTTCAGAAGAAAACTTTAAAAAAATGATGAATGAATGGGAAGTGAGAGGAATGTGAAGTATGGATTGGTCCCCCCAAAAATGGGAAATTGAGGGAGAGAGGCACAAGGCACGCGGACCTTAAAATAATCATAATGATTCCCAACAATGCAATCACACAGAAATATCAATGGGCTGTGCAGCAGGAGAAGTATCGACAGAAATCTAAAAACACTTTCCCCTGGTAAGAAAGCTTGGAAAGGGTTTTGCTTAACAGGAAAGTAATGAAATGGAAATCCGCTGATGTCCTGTGGTCTCAGAGGCAATGGAGCTTGGAAAGTAAAGGCCTGGAGGGGTGGAATCCAAGATTCGTCAGAAAAAAATAATACCTTTGTAGTGAGATGTTCAAGAATTTAATATTTTCTAGACATACAAACTCATCCCAGGTCACTGATATTTGTATTTGATATTTACTCAAGGAATATGGAGAGCTGCAAATTCAGGACATAAAATTTTGTAAAACTGAAACTAGAATATACACATCTGTTACCTCAAATAATTGCCTTTGTAAACAAAGGTAAGTACACACATCACTTATAATTATTATGTTTTTAAAACTTTTGTGTTCAAGTTGAAATCCTGTGCAAAGACCATAGTTCCTGAATGTAGAAATGCCTATAACATTATTTTGCCCTGGCCATACCCAGGTCAAAGATTCTAAAACAGAGGAACCATAATATAATCTACGCATGTGATTTTTGGCATGAGCAGCATGGAATTCAACTCAGCAGATTCAGAGGTTTGTTTTCTACTTATAAGATCCAACATAGGGAAAGGGAAGAAATTAGGAGCCAGAGAAGCCAAGGCCTCTTAATTCTAACAACCTATGAGCCATAAATCCTGCAGCACATTTCACTATCTCTATGCCAAACACAAAATTCAATCAACATGTACATTCAAGTTCAGTCATTTAAACCAAAAGACACAGACTCAGCATTTGACTCGTACCAAATTATTCTTCATGGTAATCTTAGAGATGATGCTTTTCCAGGCATCTGAACTCATTTTTTGTTCTCTAAATTCCTAAAGGCAATTTAGGAAATCACTTAACGCACCTATTGGAAGAAACATGCCCTAGACCCATTGCCTGTCTATGTCATAATGAATTATGAAAGTAGCATTCCCTGTTATAAAAACCAATTACCCTACAAAGATAGACTTGTCATTCTTCTCAGCTTCTCCAGGTGTCTAGGAAGATACACAGTACAGTGATACCATCTTGAAACCTGGGCCTTCCAATAACACTTCAAAAAGGCATTAATTGATCAATCTGCCCAACACACAGCAGAAGTTTTTCTAAAGGGTTGTTGTGGAGACAACTCCCTCAAGGAAAAAAAAAAAAAGCTCAGGAGATCAGGTCTATAGAGAAAATATTAAAGTTATTTCAAGAGAAAAATACTGTGACTTGAATCCATTGTAATTACACAAAATAAACCTCTCTCTCCCTTTGGGACCACCCCCACACACACTTCAAAATCCAGGAATATTTTTGGGTTTTGGTTTTTACTTTTTATTATTTATTCATTTATTTATTTATTTGAGAGAGAGAGAGCGAGAAAGAGTGTGAGCGGGGCAGGGGCAGAGGGAGAAGTAGAGAGAATCCTAAGCAGACTTTATGCTGAATATGGAGCCTGACACTGGGGCTCAATCTCAGACCCTGAGATCATGACCTGAACTGAAATAAGAGTCAGACGCTCAATCAACTGAGCCACCCAGGCACCCCTGAAATCCAGTTTGGGGCCATTTTGAGTCCTCTACTGCTGCATGATATCACCAGCCTTTGGCACTGTGCAGGTTTGAGAATCTAAAATAGAGCCTTGTTTCAGAGAGATTATAATCAGAAGGTGATTCTGGATACACAGCAGCAGGAGGGATTCCATGATTGGTCCCTGAGTTACCAGGACAGTAGGATCAGTGTAGCCAAAGGGTTTGAAAATAGTCTCTTGGGGGCGCCTGGGTGGCTCAGATGGTTAAGCGTCTGCCTTCGGCTCAGGTCATGATCCCGGGGTCCTGGGATCGAGTCCCGCATCGGGCTCTCTGCTCCTTGGGAGCCTGCTTCTCCCTCTGCCTCTCTCTCTCTCTGTCTCTCATGAATAAATGAATAAAAATCTTTAAAAAAAAAAAGTCTCTTGGATGTGATTAATCTCAAAGGGAGGTAAATGTAGGTAGATAAAAATAAGGTGGATTGGGGTGTCTATGCAGCAAAAGAGAGCTATAAGTTTGGACAACATTTTTGAGATACAAAAGTAGTCCACATTGGCTGCATAAAAATTTCAAATATAAGGGTAGAAAAATGGGTTTGGGTTCAAACTTCATAAAGCTGCTTAGAGAGTGTTAACCCATTCAAACTTCATAAAAGCTCAGTGAAGGGGATGAATAGAAAGATCTGGATTCTCCTACATCTCGTCAGGATATTCAGTCCACTTTCTCTTTTTTTTTAAGATTTTATTTATTTGTTTGAGAGAGAGAGTGCAAAAGAGCAAGAGCAAGGGCAGGGAGAGTGGCAGAGGGAGAAGCAGACTCCCCACTGATCGGGGAGCCATTGTCTGTTGCTGGGTTCAGTCCCAGGACGTTGGGATCATGACCTGAGCTGAAGGCAGACAGATGCTTAACCACCTGAGCCAACCAGGCACCCCAGTTCACTTCCTATTGGAACAAGCAAAGTAGGATTCTACCTCAGAATCTTCCTCTCTCTTCCTTCTGCTTCTAGTGTGTTTCTCTCCAGGTATCTGCACAATTTTCTTCTTCACTTCATTCAGACTTTTGCTCATCATAGAGGCCATCTTCAATCATCCTTTTTAAACAGTAAAGCTAACCCAACCCCAAGCCTCATCCACTTTCCCTCTTACACAGTTTTTTTTTTTTTCAAAGCAATTACCATTACATAACATTGAATTTTTATCACATCATACCACCCTACAACAACTAGTATGGATTTTGTTTAGTTTTTCCACACTTATACCTCCAGCTTCTGGAATAGGGCTTTAAAGAGTAAATGTTCAATAAATATTTTTAAACAAATGAGTAAATGAATAAGTGGACACATAATTTTAAGAATGTAGCTGCAGAAGAAAAATTAGATTAACTTCTTGAAGGTGTTGGGTAACATGAACTTTCTGTGAGAATGGAAAAGAATTAGTTGTTTCTTTGAGAGATCATCCTAGGAAGATCATACTTGAACAGACAGAAGTTTGTTCCTGGATGGGAGAAGGAAGAAGTGAGCCAAGATTGAATTCTAAGGGCCAGACTTGGGACAATGCTTTTATATCTTTGTTGGCCTCGACTGCCTGGCTGGCTTTTGACTTCTTCCCTTATACACCTCCTGGAATTCATTTCCACCAAAATTATGACTGATCCAAGAGACCAAAAGTTGATCTCACCACACAGATCATTGGGCTTTAGAGATACAGGTCCATTTCTGCTACAGTCTCTACTGTCTTTAGAAAAGACATGAGGGGCGCCTGGGGGGCTCAGTTGGTTGAGCGACTGCCTTCGGCTCAGGTCATGATCCCAG